AAAGCAAATACAACATATATACTCATCACTCCCCAACATAAAGTATTCCGTGCAGCTCTGAAGAGATCGTCTTTGCCCTTCCCTTTCCCCTCATGAATGAAATTCTGCTGCCTGCCGTTATGACTTGTACCTTGTGAAAGAAATGACGAACTGAACTGATCTAGTATCTTCTTCAGTCATGCCAATCTACGCTCGCCGACCCAACATTGAACTCGAATGTGCATCAGCGAGTGCTCAAAACATTGAAATTATTCGCATCGAAATCCGAGTGTAGTAAGTTGAACTAGTTAATGCTTGAATTGTTGCTTTGACAAATTATATTAAGAAATGCCGCCGGACTTTGTGGAGTTTACGTTCTGGCATTGTGTAGATTCTCAAAAACATGATGATTTCTCAGTGAGAAGTGCGAGTACAATATTGTTCGGTGAGTGGGAATGAGTAGAACTTTCTTTATATAGTCTTACATTTCTAGGATTTATGGTTCGCTACATTACGAAGAGTCGCGTAGTACCTGCATTCTACATCATTTCTACAAGATCGAAGTTTTGGCAGGAGGTGAGTCAGTAAATTTTTGACGTACACATCGAAAGATCTCATATGTAGATATTACATCGTTGCCTGTCGTTATCCGACCTACCACCACTTCAAAGGATCCTGTTACTGAGCTTTCTCACTCGTTTATCCCTTGGTTACATTGAATGTTATTCCCGAACAATGCTAGAGTCAGTAATTACTATCAGACCTAATCATGCTTCATATAGATAAGTCTGTTTCTAGAGGCATCCATTTTTTGATCTCCTCTGTAATTAAACTATTGGATCACACGAAGGATATCCGCGAGCGCCGATTTTGTTTGGAGACGCTCGTTGTTTTATCCCCAACATCAGCATGTGAGGAGGTATTGAAGCATATCAAAGAATTAGACCGAGAAGAGCAAACTTATGCCTTGCGGGCGGATTGCGATTTCCTCGAATATACTTTGGAAAAGTGAGAATGATAGTCATTTGCATCCGATCTTTGTCAATATTCTTCAGTTCTAGATCGGAAAGGTGTCTTTACTTCGCGAAGTGCTCGAAGATTCCCACTGATTACGTCCAGTCACCTTATGTGCAGATTATCGAAGATGCTAGACTGCTGGATCCCTCAAGCGCTGTGGCAAAGATTGAAAATATGTGTGTATTTGCCAGTATTTCAGTTGAACAGACGTTTATTTTCGACATTTAGGTTTGCCTCGGTGGAGTCGCATTCAGCGGAATTGACACTTCAGGCACTAGCAATGGCGCTTACTTTAGTTGCAAAAAGTTTGCGGGTCAACGGTACAAACAATGAAGATTCAAGGTTAGTTTCTGAACACACATCGAATTGTATTTTCGAGGTTATTCAAGTGATCCGTATCTATTGGTGTTGGTTGAGATAATTTTTTACTTTTTTTTTCTCGAAAACTCAAGTCAGCTCTGCAAAAGTTCATCCCACTTTTCCGAAATTCGGGGGTGCAGCCCAAAAAATACGAAACATCTTTCGAGGAATTTTTGGAGGGCGTGGCTGAAATCGCGACTTGTATAAAATCTTTGCCAGCCCTTTTGAACGGAATCGGACCACTGTTGCTTATTACTTCTAAGATATTGCAGGATACGATTCGTCAAGCTCTGTTTCGCCATTTTGGATCATGATGGATGCACCTCTCGGGCAGTGTCTTTGATGAGCAGAATTCCAGTTGTTCTTGGTCTCACTAAGTATTACATGCAGAAGTCTTACATTGTTCAGGTCGGTTTCTTGCTTTTTATCATGGGGATCTTCTCAAAATAGAAGATTTTCAGCTTTTGAAACAATGGGAACATGGAGATGCATGAAGTGCTAATTGCGTGCTTTGTCTAATAATATGTCTACTTCACTTACATTGGCAGGCATGCCTTTTACTGTGATTTATTACAGGTTTTTGCATAAAAGTTTCCTCATCCAGCATATCTCTCTTCCACGTGTTCTGAACGCCCAGTTGTTTCTTGCCCGACGAGTTTTCTGTTTTGTTTTTGTTGTTGTATTGTTTATTTGATCTTTAGGGCCACTAAAGGCATGTCACTCAATTATGCGCAGGCCCTGTCACCATATGAAAATAAAGGTGAAGTCGGAATGCCTGAGGTGATCAAAAGTCATTAGTTTTTTCTTTAGCAAAGACACTGATACAATAGCACTCATTTCATCTGAAGAAGAATTTTTCTTGAAATTTTACACAAAATATAATATTTATTGTTAGATTATTGATCCACCGGAAGTACTAGAAGCAAAGTGCATGGAGTTGGCACAACTGCTTCTGCGGAGCAAATGTGCTTTTGTGATAACAGGGGC